TTTCCTGTTGGTTTCTGATCCAAACTTTGTGTTGGTAAAATTCCCAATCCAAACTTGTGGATGCTGGCATGTTATCCATGGAAAAAAACCTTCTCTGAAAGTGGACAACTAAAATATAAAGAAAAGCATGCACACTAGCATATTGCAATACATTCAACCAACCTGAATTATATCTTCAAAGGCCACTCCCAGTCCCCTGTAGTTTCTTGCAAGGTATATAACTAAGGATCTTGTACTTCTTAAAAGCTCATCCCTGCAATCCCAACCAAAATGCAAATGCTCCTGCAATACCTTCTTGTCAACTCCAGCAGCTTCTGCCCAGTTACTCAAGCTAGCTATTTGCCCTGTTTCCTCTTCCACTATTTCTCTGATTCTTTCCAAGTTTGCAACCAACTGTAACATAATAAAATATATCAGTAAGAAAGAAAACTGAAACATAACAATCAAGTATGAATTCTACATTAATAGAAGTTTGAGACAACCTTAACCCCTCTCGACATTTCTGCCACATTCTTAGCAACTCTAAGTCTTCTATTTCTGGAGTTTGCTGATCTTCTTACTGAAGAAAAGTTAAACTGTTGGGGGTCTTTACGATTGTATTTTGAGGGCAATGGTAATGCACATACATTTTTTGCCTTTTTTGATGTTCTCTCTCTTCTTAATTTTCTTTTCCCCTTCTTACCAGAGCGAACAACAATCTCAGTCATGTGTTTATCCAAAGCGTTATTCATCCGATGTTCTTCACTAAGCACAGGTGGCACATCAGACAAGTCAAATAGAGTGGGGTAATTAAGTGCCTTGGAGAGACATGTATGGAATAATTTCAGAGCTCCAAGCCTTTCTAATTGCACCAGAATATCTCTTTCCAACCTTACCACGTCTGAATCAGCAAATGTCTCCTCCAACATGACAAGATTTTCCATCAATAAACTGAAATGTGATGCTTTGCTTGTTTGTAAGTTTGTTATCAATACCAATTTATCCTCTCCATTGGGTGCCTGGATATTACTTTCAACCATGTTATATAAGCAACGGCGGGACCTCTTGCCAACATTCATCTGAACGGTCAGAACTAAAACGAAGTTAGTTCATTTTAAAGCATATGAAAGTGTAACGAACTGTACACACTTATATACATTAAAATAAAAGGAAACCTTTATTTCTTCCATTTCTGAGTAATCATTGCTCAAGGTTTGTGAAGCGGATGAACAAGCATGTGCTTGCAGAGGATCATTGTACAAAGTCTCACTATCTCCAGAAATAACAGGTGGGAAAGATGCCCTTGCAGAGTCACAGAACGGCCCCCAGCCTTTAATTGTATCATTTCAAAAATCATAGTAAATAATAGAACATAACTAGTGAACTGAACAAACACGGCAGAAACTCAACATGTACCATATCACACACCGTGCAGGTGGACTTACAAGTCCATCATAGGTATTATATAACCACATAAAATAGAATGCAGTGGCATTAGGAGATAGGAGAGGAGAAAGGAAACCATCAACAGTGCAAATTTTAATAGAAGTATAGGACCATGTAGGCATCAGAGTTTATAATCACATCCATCAAAAGTATGCTTGGAAAAATTTACCACAAAGACTAAACTACTGCTAATTTCACAAGAAATAGTTGACCTTACACTGACTTCATTGCCAACCCAACTTCAAATTTATAACTATTAGCCAGACTGCACTGGGTAAGAAAAACTCAATAAGTTCGGATTGAGTTTATCTGAGAAAACTCAGTAGCTCCTCCAAACTGGAGTCTTCTCATTCCATACACACAAACATGTATGAAAAAATCTTCAACTTGGCAATGACTACAAAAAGGATCCCACTAGTAATCTTTACAAGATCTAAGTGCATCTAACAACGTTTATGGGGGAACCAACTTGATAAACTTCTGTTTCTCCATTAGCATCACCTTATTCAATAATTACCAACTTGGGAAGCAAATTTAAGGCTTATTCAGTTTATGTAATGAGAAATGCGATCAGATCGCACCGGAAGCAATCTGCTGAACTATCTGTGCCGCAATGAAATTGTTTGCAATAGGGAATTGGAAAGAAGAGTCAAATCATAACAACTGCACATGAAATAAATTTTTATGTACATTATAAAACTCAATAGAAAAACATTTAATTATGACAAATATGAATCAAAACATGGAACTACCCACCCAACAGATTAAGATAAATACTTTGAATAAACAAAACCATCACCCAGTACATATCAATCAAGTGAAAATAAAAGAGCATAACTTGAAGTAGAACAACAAGGATAGTGCACTCACAGGAATATGAGGAAGGCCAAGGAGATGAGTTGGTGAAGGAAGGTGATTGAACTGAAAACCCCCATTTAAGATTCAGCCTAAAACCCATAACCAAAGTGTTTCCTGGAGTCCACAAAGCGGAGGAACAGTACCCATCAAACGTTCATAAAAGGCAAGAAAGATATTTGCAAGGTGAACCCAGATGGATATAGTGGTGTTGTCAGCTCTCAACCACTGGTTCTCCATCTTAACAGAATGGTCAAAAAAACCTTTTCACCTTTTGCGTTCCAAACACTTCACTCCTCGTTCTACTCTTGCCAAAGATATTTTCTGTTCAGCAATGAGTCCCTAATAATTTTTTTTAGGGAGAATTATATTAAGACCCCTAATATTTGAAATATTATATATAAACCCTTAAAATTTGTACGCGAATAACTTAGATTTATATTAAATGTATCTTTTAATAAATTACACTTAGATCCCTTAAAATTTTTTGGTATAAAATATTTAGATCCCTTAATTTTAAAATATTATATTTAAATCAAAAATACTTTAATCAAAGATAGAATATCAAATATTTTAAATTTTACAATTAAAATTCATGTTCTATTGTATCATTTATTGAAATAAAATTAAAAATAAAAATTTAATTTTTTCTTAAAAAATTGTAATTAATATACAATTATACTATCTATTAGAATAAAACTAAAAAAATTAAACGATGAGTTTAAGTCATTCATAATAGAACATGAATTTTACATTCAAAATTCATGTTCTATTATGTCATTTATTGAAATAAAATAAAAAATAAAAATTTAGTTTTAAAAAAAATCATAGGTAGTATATAATTATATTATTTATTAGAATAAAACTAAAAAAATTAAATAAGAGGTCAATCTATAATGAACACAATATCTTTTAGATTTAATTGAGGTAGTTTGGTATTTTAATTTGATCGTTTAAACAATCAAATTAAATTTCAATAGACAATAAAATTTTATATTAATTACGATTTTTTTAAAAAAATTAAAATTTTAGTTCAATAAATGATACAATAGAACATAAATTTTAATTCTAAAATTTAAAATATTTTATATTTTATATTTGATTGAAGTATTTTTGATCTAGTGTAATATTTTAAACTTAAAAGACCTAAGTAATATATATTTATAAATTTTAGGGGATGTAATTCTTCATTTTCATTTACTCTGCAATGGGGGCGGGCCGCTGCTGTGGATTAATATTTTTTTATCAATTATTTGAATTCGATATCTTATATTATCATGGATTCAGATTTGAATATACCTATATTCAATTTAATTCAAAATATTTATATATTTTTTATATAAATAGTAAAAAATTAAGTGATTATTTAAAAAAATTTAGTTAACATTTTACATGTAATTTGTTAAAATATAATTAAATTAAGTTATTGGGATAGAATTTTGGATTGTTAATGAATTCATATATGAACTGCAAAAATAAAATTCATCGAATAATCAAATTTGAATTCAGATCAGTCTAAAACACAAATATGTTAATAGGCCTAGCCACCAGAATCCAAATCCCCTATTTTTTTCTTCAATTTTCTTGATCGTTAGATTATTAAATATAAAACTGAATGATCTAGTTATATGCAATAATATGTTTAATTTTAAATCACAATAAATAATTTTTTAAAGAAAAAAATATAGATTAGAAAATATTAAACATATCACTAATTGAACAAACAAAAAATTCTCACGTTTTACTTAGCATATTTACACAGTCCTTTAATTACTTTCGATTATCTCAGGCATTATAAACAATATCTTATTTTATTCCTAGGCTATCAAATTATTTCAGGAAAGTTTAGAATTGATACCTTGTGATTTTTAATATTCTTAACTTTAATTTTTTGTTTGAAATGTTATTTTTGTATTTCATATTGCTTATTATAAATGTTTAATTCCCAATTAAATATTAGGATAAATTATATTCACACTCCCTGATATTTGGTTTTATTACACGGACACTCCCTCACATTTCAACAATTACACTGAGACCCCAATGGTTAGACGGAGTTAACTCTCTCAATAAAACGACAACTTTGCCCCGCTGTTTAACACAAACCCAATCCCTCTCTGACTCTCTCGCTCCCACCAGCGAACCCCAAACCCCTTTTTGACTCTTTCTCTGGCTCCCACCAACGATCCTAGTGATCCCAATCATCAGTCTTATCTCTCTCTCTCCCTCAGCTCATCTATGTGTGTGCATTTGTGTGTGTATATATGTATATGTATACATATATATATGCACACATGTAAAGAGAGAGAGAGAGAGAAAGAAGAGGTGGTGGCGGTTTCCATGGTGTGGAGGCGACGATTGGTGGTGGGTAATGGTGTTAATGGTGCATTTATGAGCCAAAATCGCAGAAGATTGCTAGCCCTTCTTCCACTACTGCAACACCCTCCAGAGCCACCCCATCCAAATATGAGAAATCAAAAGGATCCGAAGCTTTAAAATCTGCTTGGATGATTTTGGAGGGGTTTTGGGGTTCGATTTTACTACTAGTTGTTGGGTTTGTGTGTGGTGTGGTTGAGGAGTTGGAAATGGAGGTGGAGGATAAGAATGTGGTGGGGTGGGGGGGTTGCTCGACTGTGATGGTTGTGTGTGTGTGCGAGAGAGAGAGAGAGAGAACGATGTTATGGAGGAGAGGGGTCATGTATAGAAATGGTCGATGAGGGGTTTTGGCTAGGTGGTGGTTTCAGTGGTGGAGGCGAAGGTTGTTTTCATGGGGTTGTGGTTTTCCCTCTGTCTCTGTTCTCTCTCTCTCTCTCTCTCTCTCTGCTGGTGGTGTTTGGATGTGTTGGGTGGCAGATGTACTATCACGGTGGTTAAGTTTATGTAGTGGTGATGGTGGCAGAACTGGTGGTAATGTTGGAACTGGTGGCAAGAGTAAAAATTTATGTAGTTAGATAAATAAGAAACAAAAATAAATTTAATATGGGATAATTGGATTAGGTAATTATTGATGTTTTAAAAAAATGATTACATTTTAAATTGTACTAATAGTATCAAATATTATTTAATAAACAAAAAAAATTTAATATTTTATTTATTAATGTAATGTATTTAGAAATTAAACATATAAGTGTTAAATTTTAATATATATATTTCATATATAGATTAATAAAATAAATGAGAGGTTGTATAAATTTGGAGGATATTTTTGATATTTTGAGAATTATGATCGATGATCTCGGCTGTTAATAAGTTTAGCATCTGTTAGTCGGAGGAGGTGTGACTGTTATAAGTTTTAAATGTTAAGGGAGTTTAGTGTTATTTTTAAAATGTGAGGGGTGTACATGTAATAAAAACAAATATTAGGGGGTGCAAGTGTATTTTATCCTAAATATTATTTTTGAAACTGGCTATTTTGTAATTCCTAAAATTATTACTTTTATTTTTATAAGGGTTAAGACTTAATCAAGCATCATTATTTGCTTCATGGATATAGTTGATAAATGCGTCTTAATTTTGATACTAATGTCAATTTATTTTTTGTTTTTTAGTTTTTGTTTAATGGTTAGGGGTGTCTAGACCACCTTACGCATACATCGATTAATCTTTTATCTGGTTCGATCAAAGACAGACTATTCACATCAAAATTAAAATATTCATGAAAGATAAATTTTTTATCATCATCAAGTATGGGTAGAACCAAAAATTTAGAGTAGAAAAATCAAATATTTTGTTGTAGTTTAACCCATCAACTTCCATTCCATTAAATTATTTCATGGAATGGCGACTTGGATGGAATGTGTTGATTATATCTACTTTAATTAAGCAGTCAAAGGTAAATTAAGAAAAATAACTTTCATAGGATAAATTAAAATTAGAGTTAGATTTTAGGGTTTTTCACGCTTTGCATCTTAAAAGATTTTAAGATTTTTACTTTGCATCTTTAAAAATTAAATTTCTCACATTAAAACTTTAAATATATCAAAAGTGTTGTAATGTTGTCTTTCTGTTAATTTCTATTATTTTTTGTGTAAAAAATCAATTCATTGACACTAACAGAAAAATTAATAAAAAGTTAACAGAAGAGTCACATTTCAACACTTTTGATATATTGAGAATATAATACGAAAATTTTAATTTTAAGGATACAAAGTAAAAATCTTAAAATTTTTTAGGGTACAAACTGCAATTCAGCCTAGATTCTAAAGGACATTAATGTTTATCTTAGATTGTAAAGGAACTTTTTTACGATGTTTATCCTTAACCCTTTCATAGCACAAGACGAAGACCTTTGTGAATACTGAATACTAAAGTTAATTTGAATTTGAATAATAGGTTGGGCTTGGGTCAAAATAGTTTGGTCCAACATTGTTCTAGCTTAAACGTAGGCCACGACTACACCTGCCCCACGGACAGCACAGTCCATTTTAGATCAATCTCACACACAGGCAGATGTATTTTTGTTTTAATAAAAATAAAATAAAATTTGGAAGCCGCTTTCTCTATATGTATTTGTTTAGACTTAAATCCGTTAAAGAAATTTATTTGTTTTGAAGTCTATTTTTTTTTCAATTTTACCAGACTATCCGTTCTCTTTACAAGTAAAATAAAACTAAAAATTATAAATTCCTAAATTTTAGGAATTTGACTAACATTAAAGTTTCTTATCTCTCATATCTGTCTATATCTACATATAGGAAAGGATTATATAACTCTCATACATTATCGAATTTTTTTTTTGGGTACCGTAAACAAATCCTTGACTCTAAAGACATTTGGCCCTCACATTATTATTTTTCAGATGAGTGGCCAAAAAATATTGAAAGCACGAAACTAGTCATTATTATTGTTATTCTTCCACAATATCCTCCTTTTGATGTGTACATAAGTTTAATCCATGAGAGCGTGTGAAGTGTACTGCATGAAGTCGGAAGATGATTTAGGGTTCAAATTCCCTCCGATACATTTTACCTCGATTTCTTTGTAGTAAACCATGCACCAAGACATAACCCACTTATATATGATAAAACTTACTTGAATCCATGACAGGTATGTTTCGTTTGGTAGGACAGATGAAAAATAAGAGAGATATAATTTTTATCTTTCAAAAATAGAAAGTAAAAAATATACACTTTCCTTCTTTTGTATTTGGTTGAATAGATAAAAAATAAAAATGACTATTTTTTTTTGTTTGTGCTGGCTAAAATTAAAGATGACAATCGAGTCATGTCAAATTTGTGTTGAGTCATTACGAGTTTATGTCAAATATCAGTCAAACCTAACTTAACTCATTTAACTAATTGTGTCATTTCGAATTGTAAATTGACCTTTTTATTTTCGTATCGAGTTGTATCATCGTGTTGAATCAAAAACTTTCACCCTTAGTTAAGATGAATTTTTTTTTAATTTAAAATTAATGTATATATATATAGACAAATAAGATACATCTCAACACAAATAATTAATTTTTCATCCACTTTCCTTCCAATTTTGGAGAGATTGATTTTAGTGAGTTGGAAAAAAAGTTAATCCATCTATTTTTTCATCTTCCTTACTTTCCCTGTTTACCAAACATGATGTTTTATTTATCCTTTCAATTTTTCATCCTCCCACTTTTTCATCGTACCAACCAGAGCAGTAATATACCATTACAAAATAGCTAAGAAGGAATTTAATAATAAGGGAATACATGAAGTTGGTAGGTAATTGGCAGGAATTCATTCTCTAAACAGCAATGCCTTAGGGCTAGGATACGAAGAGTTTATCTCTCACGAATACTCTAATTCTGGGCAAAAGATGGACTAATCGAGGTGCGTATAAGCTCTCTTGGACATACTTGCCGTTGAATAAAAAATAAAAAAATAAAAAACAAAAGAAAGAAGAATCCAAAGCACAGAAACATGCTTCATCATTGTCCAAATCTGGAGAGATCCTTGGATTGATGTAAAATAAATTTACAATGTTGCAAAAATAATGTTCATTAAAAAATAAAATTGATACTTATCATCTTCCCAAGGGATTTCTCTTCTCCTGTAAACTAATAGGTACAGAAGATCCCACAAATAATATCAGCTTCCCAGATAAATTAGCAGCACATTTCTCATCAGTCCCACCTTAGTCTATATCCAGTATCTTCATTGTTCTCCCAGTGGTACCACCTGAGTCAACATTGATCATTCTTATGCAGTTTTTTAACATCACTAATCATCCCTACCTACACTACTTAGTTCAGGACACTTAAGTACAAGGCGCTCTCGATTGTACCTATTACGGTACAAAAAAGAAAAAGAAGAGAGGACATACTAATCATGATAACTCGTGTTCATTTAGATCGAGAGCATTTTGCAACATAAAAATATACTACATACAGTGTTGGCAGATTCAAAAGCACATACCAACGCTACATGGAGTCCCTGGAATTGCTTCACTTATGCAGTCCTGTATTTGTTTAATTTTTGCTGGTGGGTTATAGATCTCAGTTGTCCTTGCAGTTTCTTGAATAGCTTGAAGACAATCTCGATTGGGACTGAAAGAAGTCAAATGGTGTCCCTGGTCCAAAAGACCGTCTCGTGGCATTTGGAGAATCTGATAGTAGAGGTTCAAACACTGGATTTCTGTTCTTGGGTTGAGAAATTGATAATGGACAGACATCTTTATCGTAGGATCTAGGTTGTGGCTCTATATTTCCTAACGACAATATGGGACCTCCCAAACGTTCAGCCTGCTGAAGGATGTTGATTTTACTTGATCTGTATGTATATCTGAAGTACTTAAGAGCTAGCACCGGACCCATCCCTGCTGCAACAATGAGCTGAAATGGCATTACAGTTAATTGTCAGTTTATGAACTCCATCCTATAAAGCAAGGGCATGCTCTTCTCCAGCACAAACCATTCTTGGTAGGTTAGGACTCAACTCCCACTACATTATCAATACGAGGTTCATAATCAAAGGACCAAAATCCAAGGAACAACTAAATCCGGATGAATGGAAAAGATGGATTATTTATGGCCAGATAACGTATAGGGGTGTAATATCATTAGTCCGGGACACCATGGTCATATTTGTCCAAATGAAAACATAATAGTCAAATGTTTCTAATTCTAGAGAAATGACAGTGGTGCTCCTATCTGTGCCATGATATAGCAAGTTGTAATACCATAACCTATGCAGCCAGAGTAGGTACTTGGAGAAGAGATGCACTCGAAAAGAAAGAATGCACGAAATGAGAAGGAAAACTCACAAACATAGTAACCCAGTAAGATGGCTGTCTACAAAGGCGGAACATGATTGTGTACATTCCTGATGATGGCAGGGCACTGACTATCCAGTTGATGACATAAAATGCAGCCAGATTTCCCCATATTGCAAGAAGTTGCGGTATTGTGAAGGAACTGCACACATCAAACACATACTCGGTGGTTAATGCACACAAGAATAATTTCAATGTACTTTTTTATGAGGAAACATGGACCAAGTACTCATTGGCACGAGTCTGGCTGTCATTGATGGAAGATAGAGGAAACTTCATCCTCTCCTATTCCAAAAGTTAAAAGAATTTAAGGGATACCATTGAACAGCTTTTCGATAAAATCGCATTGCTTAAGGTGAACAAGACAAATCAATCTCCAATAACCCAATGTAACTGTTAGTAACTTACTTGGTCTCTATCGAGACAACGAAAGCTTGCAACCAAATACAGCCAGAGAGTGCAACCATTGATAACTCCTCCATCTCACTTTTCTCGTAAGCATATGCATGTATGGTGATTGCAAATACGACAATCGCCTGAATAAGAAATCTATTATTAGTAATGTGAAATTCTCCATAATAGTAACAGTGAAACTATGACACAAATTAATTGTCTCATTAAGGACTTCTATCAGAACACTAGTAATCTTCCTTCCAATGTCTGCAAATGAGGAGTGTATGCCTGTTGGAAACCCATTTTTAAAATACAGAAATTTATAAGAGGGGAAAATGAAGAACAAAATATTATAAGTTTTACATTTGCTTCTCATGTTGTACATGTCCTTGCATTGAGAAATTGCCAATGAAGTGCTGCAAGGACCACACATGTCCTCTAAAGCTAATGTGATCATCTGTGAGCAACTAAAAATAATGTCTCGCCTGCTTTCCACATATTCCAAAGGAAATTCAAATTCAAGTCTCGCTCACATCATTGAAATGCATAGTGACATTCTCTCAAATATCTCCTCCTCATCATTGATTTATGACATTGACTGTAGGGAACAAGTCCACCAACAGCTTCCTTGTTTATGAGTTCACTTGCAGTTTTACCAAGATTACCTTGTCTGCAACTGGACCTAACTGAAGCCTAACAAAATAGGGGTGAACGATCGCCTTATGTATGCATTTGCAACAAAACTACCATCTTCAAACATGCCTTTAGGAAGGTACTATTCCCAATCACATAATTTAGGATTTCCTAGTTTATTGAAAGAAGAGGCAGTTAAACCATTAGGGTACCCGGATAGGAACAACTCAAAGGGTTCATCAGTATCATCTCTTTCCTCAATTGATACTCGGATGATGAAATTAACAGGAAGTATGCCAGAAGATTTGAATGAGTGTGTACAATGAGAGCCAGTTCCCCCATCCCACGATGTAGACATATGCATTTCCCCATTCTCCTCTGAGGCCTCTACAAAACTGAGTTCCAAATGCACAGATCATAGAGAAAAAAATGCAACCAAACATAGGCACCAGGCAGACCAATTCATCCACCAGGCTTACCAAGATACTAATTACTGGGTTTACTTCCTCCAAATCGAGTCACTGCTTCAAGGTTGGTCAAAATTAGGATGCTCTATTTAGTTAAACTAGTGTTCTAAGGTGAAAGAAGTGACAAATACTAAGCAACATCAATGCACAAGACACATCTCAAATGCCTCAAATGTTCTTCATCCATGCATGAGATGGGATGGTACTCCCTAAGATAACCTCTCTTGGCAGAGCTTCCTCCATTGCCCTGGACAAATTTCCACATATTACTAGTATCTCAGAGCCTTTTGGATCACACAACTCCGTAACGTACTATTCTTTATAGGTATCTTACAATCATCGGAAAAACCTATATACAAAAAACTATATTCACCAATCTAATCTTTTAGATCACACACAAAATTGATTATCTATAATGAGTCCCGCCATAGCCACACTCTTTCGGCATAAAAAAATGAAATTCATACTATAAAAAGTGCACACTGAGATGAGTTGAATTGAAAAAATAAGCACTGAATTGTAAACATCTGAAATATTTGGGTTCCTTTCATTAGTAGGTGTCTTTATGCTTAAAATAAACGAAAAAGCCTTTGGCTCAATATATATATACGTCTGCTCACAACCCAAGAAAAATAATTCATCAAGCCTTCCCACGAAGAAAAAAATTAAACTGGATTTCTTGTTCAATCCTAATATGACTCTCTGGATCCATTGAAAGAACCAGACACATGAGACTAGAGTGTGGGAATCAAGATGTTACTGAAAACTATTATTTTCCTTCTAATGATGTTCTGCTGATCTAACACGCTGAATTTTTCAAACACAAAGGCTAGGTCATTCCAACATAGAACCTTAAATCTTCAAACCATCAGGGTGTGGTGTAAGCAACAGAAGAATAGCAAGAAATCAAACCATAACATCACTCACATGAAAAAGGGACCGCCCAAACCATCCGGCAAATGTGCTAGGATTCAGAAGCCTGTTTCAAGAGTGACCTAAGTTAGTTGGAAGCTCAGCACGAAGCATATTAACCAGAGATGACAAAAGCCCAGTTCCTTGGACCAAGAAATGTGATCTAGAATATAGATCAGCTAAATCACTATCTTTCATTTTATATCAACGCAACCAATTAATATGGATAAATTCAAACTAAACTAAACCAAGCCTTATGTCCCAATCATTTGGGGTCGGCTCAAGGATCAAAATGTCGTGTCGACACGTCCGAAACGTCCGAAACGTTTCGGAATTTCAACACTCCAAAACGAAACAGTAGTTGAATCACAAAATTCCAGTGTTTCGGTCGAAACGGTACTGTTTCGGACCATTTCGGTCGAAACGGCATTGTTTCGAACCGTTTCGATCGAAACAGTACCGTTTCGACAAAACGGTGATATATTCGGTTCATTATGAATAATTATATTTAATACCCCATTATAATTACATTTAATACCCACTGTAATTACATTTAATACTCACTATAATTATATTTAATATCCCACTATAATTACATTTAATTCCCACTGCTCTTCTGTCTTTTATAATTTTTTTGTTATAAGAATAAATAATTACACTTAATACCCTACTATAATTATATTTAATACCCATTATAATTATATTTAATACTTACTGTAATTATATTTAATACCTCACTGCTGTGCAAGTTTTTTGCTTTTTTTTTTTTGTTATAAGTATTAACAATTACATTTAATACCCTAATGTAATTATATTTAATACCTACTGTAATTACATTTAATACCCACTGCAATTACATTTAATTTTTAAGTATACATAAGTATCATTAATTTAATTTGATACCCTTCATTATTAGTATTATAATAAAATAGTATTATTAATTGGATTATATTACCGTAATAATATGATTTGGAGTAACTATTGTCATCATATTTATGTCACATATGGAGTTTCTCTAAGTAGCTACCCAGAGCCTACACCGATGTATGAGCCTGCTCGACACTCCACAGGGGAATGGATGTAACCATGTAAGTATGTACTCATTAGCATTTCATGTGTATTATAAGACCTTAATATTATGTAAAAATGTGTTTATTTCATAAAAATTAAGTGTTTGAAACTAATTTAAGTGACTTTCGCCTCAAGTCAAGCCTTTTTTTCCCTCAAATTTAAATTTATTCTTGTATAAATTGATGTTAACCTAATAAATATGTTTAATTAATAAATTATTTAGCATATCTTTATAAATTAATGGATTGCATTTGTGTTTCTATGCGTTTCCATATTTTTTCTGCGTTTCCATTGCGTTTCCGAAATGTTTCCGAAACGTTTCTATTTTTGAGTTGACCGAAACGGTACTTCGAAACGAAATTTTGATCCTTGGGTCGGCTATATGAGTTCGTCTTCAACCAATTAATATGGATAAAGAGCACAAAACCCCAAAGTCCAAACCTTCCTGCTTGGCAGTAAAATAATATTTGTGGGTGCTGCATCACAGTTCTTTCACTGAGATCTTTGTCAAGGACACTGACTAATACAGGGATACTAGTGTAGAAAACGTTATAAGCCATCAAGCTGACAGAGTTGAAAAGGCTGGTTCCAGAGACACCTGAAATAAAAGAGAAACTGAAAGTATTCCAAGGTTAGTGCAATAAAAAATGTACTAAACAGAAGTTTCAGTTACACAATATTGCAACTCATTAAGAGAAAGATCTACAATAGAGAAACTTCTAAACAAAACAACATCATCCACGTAAACTTACAAGATCTGGATAAAACAAATCAGAAGGGATTTATAGAAGGAGTACTGGGACAGAAATGCTGTTCGATTGTATGAATACCGCCCATGGACAAGTATCAATCTTTTCAAAAATCTGAACTCTGCAATGCAAAAAAAAAAATCATTTAGAACTTCAAATCAGGGCAAGAATACATGAAAATCAATCCCAATACTAAAAAAAAATCTAGCAGCAATGTTATGGAAAAATCAGTTAGAAAGCATGGTATGCAATGGAATTTTAGAAATTTGAGTTCTACAAAGCAAGAGCTAAGATCGCAAGATTCAACCCTGTTAGAATATATATAGGAATGACAAAATTGTAATAAGTATACCCCACATGGGTATATCAGTCTTCTTATTATTTTGCACACATATATATATATATATATATATATACACATGGAGTGAGGGAGACGTATTGAAGCTCTCTGGCTCCTCTTGCTTCATTCTCTCCAAAGCCTAGCCTCTACATTCACAAACCCCAATAAAAAAGCTGAAAAAATTAAAAGAGGTATGATGATACTCATGATTTGACATCTGTATATTCCAAAAAAAAATCAGAAATACAAAAGAACAAAAATGAATTCAAATGTTTTCAAATATTCGAGATTCTAATAGAAATTATTTCTATGAACCTCAAATCAAGCAGTGCATCACACAACCCAGAAGTCACAATTTTACTGGCCAAACTCACCTTGGCTTACATCATACTTGTTGACAATCTTATGAAATCAAACTACAATTACAGTCAATTCTCTTTCATGATTCCACGAAGAATTTTCCCAAATACCGGTAATTGTTAAAGACATCAAACTGGATTCCATCAATAAGCAACAAACTTAATTACCGCTGGCGTTAGATATGTATCAACTTGGATTAGTGTCACAACTTTAACAGTTCTATAGACAATATTGGATGAGACATAGAATGAGAGAGAAAGGGTCGCAACAACTTTGCTTTTTAGTTTCTTTTTTCAGTAAATAAAACTCCTTAAGGTCGACTGCAGAACTTAAAATCACTAAAAACTAGCAGATGAGTTAAATTATTTATAATAAAATATTAAACAAAAACTGCAAGGAATAAAAATACATAGTCCAGCAGACAAATTTTTTGAACAAAAACTGCAAGGAATAAAAATAAATAGTCCAGCAGATAAATTTATCTAAAACAGGATATTGAAGATCTTACTTCCAATACTATAATCAGCTGCCCTGGCTGCCTGCAGTCCTTCTCTCCCACTTATGCCAACCCCAATGTCAGCTTGTTGGATCATCCTCACGTCATTCCCACCATCCCCAATTGCCAAAGTTCTGTAGTCACATGATTTTAGGAGCTCTACAAGCTGCAAAATGGCATGAACTGTACTTCAGATATTTTGGCAAAAAAGTGCAAAGCATCACCACCACTTAATTAAACAACATTTTAGAGAGACTCCGTTTAAACCTGGTTAGGTTCTAAAAAGCCAAATTTCAACACGGTAAATGATCATATTCACATTTATCTTTGACCAATTATTATAAAAAGTAAAATACTACAAGTATAAATTAAAAGGACTTTGAAAACCACGGAGAGAAGTCTACATAGAGAATGCTACAACCAAAGATGTGTATCATGGGGAAGTGGTTTTAAACACGGTTGTTAATATATCATACGACATGTTTCAATACATGAAGGAAATTGATACATATTGCTTAACTGTATCGGATTTGCACTATATTGCGCAATACACGACACGATACATACAATACGTACTCATACGTAAGAGTCGTCTAATATGGTTCAAAAAATATTTTATTGGAATTTTAAGAGGGAAGCGACACCATTCCACATGGAACTAATTTTTTTCAAACACTAGGCAGTGAGACAACGCCATTTCACTATCTGGGGTTTTAAACAATAACAGTCCAGTCTCCTTTTCTGGCTCCATTGGATGCTAAAACTAGAAGTCTCTAAATTTTGATATTAATGCATTATGTAGGAAACTTGAATAGTTGGATTGTTAATTTTTATTTGTGGATAGTTCTTATTTTCTATATTAGACATAAGTTAATTAGCGTAGAGTAATATTATAATTCTCCTAAATATTACTCGTTATAAATAAGAGAGTGTAGGACAACATTGCCTAACACGACTGATTATTCCCTCTCAACCTCTTCTCCCTCACTTTTTCTAACCCTAATATTGCTTTTATTGTCTTAACTTGGTATCAGAGCATTGATTCGTGATAATATATCATCAAAAATAAAGGAAAAGACCCTTAGAGAATCAGTTCATTGCCTGGAGTAATCATTAGAGGCTAACGTCAGCACTCTCTGACGTCAGAGACACACTATCTAGCTCAGTTTTGTGTTGAACATTTTTGGTAATTTTTGTTTATTTTTTGAAATCACCTAGTTGGAGTTTTTGATTTTTGAATGTTTGTCTTGAAAATAAGACTTGGATTCTCGGCCTATTGATTTAGGGTTTTTCTTGAGATTTGTTGCTTCGATCTCTCACAGATAACTCCGAGTAGATGATTGGAAGGCTGGTTTGACATACCCAGATCTCTTGGAGTGATTTTGATGTGTTTTTGGTGAGATTTGGCCAACAGTTATTGTTCCAACGCGGATGACTGTGACAGATCTATTATGTTTTTTTTTTGGTGTGTTATACTCTAATTTTAGTAATTTGGCTCTGGCTTGTGTGTTGGTTGAATTCGAGAGGCAGCTCTATAGGCAGTCTAGATTTGTTGTTTGAAGATCCACTGAGCAGTACTTAATACTATTCTAGAGCACTGATCTGTGCTTGTTTTTGACTCCTGTGTGTTTGCTTTAGGAGCTTTCTAGTGTGGGTAGTGTTCTGTTGTGGATCCCTACTCATGAGGGTTGTGTATTTGGTGATTTATTTTGGTTGTGGTTGATTGTGATTGGGTTGTGGTTGATTGCGATTGTGATTGTTTGTGGATTATTTGTTTGTTTCGGACTCTATTACTGTCTAGTTGGTTGTGGGTATCTCTATATGGCAACTTCAGAGGATGTGAAGAACACTTCAGTGGATGATCCCAGATTTAATCTCTACTACTCAGGGGGAGCTCCTGTATCAGATGGTGTATCTCCTCCTTCAAAGGTTTTTAACCCTCAATTATAAGTTTATTATCGTTTCATTGATAGACAAGTTTTATATACTCTAGTTCACTGACCAACACTTAATTCTACTGAGATCCTTCCTCCTAAGTCATTTCCCCTATCACCCTCTTTGAACTTGACTATTATATTGCGGAAAGGTACTCGTACTTGAACCCAACATCTCATTTCTAATTTTATACCTTGTCATAGACTTTCCTTATCCTTTTGTTGTTTTGTATCAATTTTGTCGTTTTTATTTGTTTCCAACTCTTTGAAATACATATTAACATCTCCCGAATGGAAACTAAATATGGATGAAAAAATTAAAAAGCTTCATAAAAATCATACCAGGGATCTTACTCCTTGTCCTTCTAGTAGGCAATTTGTCAGTTGTTGCAGGGTCTACATTCTGAAATATCATCTTGATTAGTTTGTTGAGCATCTGAAGGCATTGTTGGTTGCTAAGGGCTACTTCCAAACGTATAGTACAGATTACTATGAGATTTCTCTCTTGTTACTCGTTTTCAATATTATAGTTCTTATTTCTAGTGCAGATAGTTGAGGGTGGCCCTTGTATCAACTACACATAAATAATGCACTTTAATACAAAGATCTACCGAGGAAGGTATATATGACTCATCCTTCAAGCTATGTTTTTACTGCCCAGAAACAATTAGTGTGTCGCTTGAAGAAAACACTGCATGACTTGAAGTAATCACTACGTGCTTGGTTTGATAAGTTTAATACTATCTTATTTGAGTTTGGCTTTTAGCGCTCTACTTCATACCATTCAATCTTCAATCATCGGTCTTCTGTAGGCATGATTATTGTTATTATGTATGTCGATGACATCATTATTAGTGGTAATGACTCAGATAGTATTGCCCACTTCATTGACTTCAAAGTTTACTTGAGAAAGTAGTTTCATACCAAAGATTCGGGTCTTCTTTGGAACTTCCTAGGGATTGAGGTTGCCCAAAAAAAGAAGGGTATCAGTTGATTAGCCTTGGATATTGTGTGATTTTTATTTTAATTACTGGCTAATTATATTGAGCAAGACATTAATGGTGTTGAATTAATAAAGTTTTGAATATCATCTTTTTTTTGCAGTGTTTGTTTGACTTTGCAGATAAATTGGGTGAATTAATGATCGGAAGGATAAAATACAAAAAGAGAAAAGATTCAGAGCAACAAGGAGGAAAAAGGGAGAATCTGCCTAATGCGTCCGGGTGGAAGATCAAGGTGCCTCCGGACGTACCAAAACTGCCCAAAGAAGAATGAAGACACACGTTCGAATGGGGAATGCATTGCATCCTGATGTAACTTCCAGAGAAAACAAGAAAATTACTGTAAAGTGCGTCCGGACAATCAAAAGGCGCGTCTGGAAGTGATGCACAGAAGGGCCAAGACGCCAAGGTGGTCCAGCTAGATTAAAAGGCGTGTCCAGATGCGATGACGAAGTTCACCAGTAACCCTAGAATTTGATGTTCATTAGGTTTTTTATTCCAAAAGTCTATATAAAGGGGTGTAGGCATCGACTTGTATTCATTCTACTTTTAGCTCATTTTCATTAGTTTTTGTTCTAGTTTTCATATGAATTGTTAAATCTCCAACTAAACCTTGGGGAGATACTTTCAATGAAGCACGATATCGTTTTTGATTTAATATTTTTTTAATGCATAACTTATTCTTTTAATTTAATTCTTATTTTTTAGTAAAATTTTTGTTTAGTATAATTTCTTAATTCGATGTGCCATGTACATCAAATGCTTGAGAATCTCAGTAAGTCAAATAACTGGTTTTACATGCCTGAATTAATTAATTAAAATTTTTATAAAATATTTAATTTATTATTTGTAATAAAATTAGAGTTTACCTGTTCAAATGCTTGATTTGCGACTTCGGGCACGGTGAATGCTTGTGATCTACAACTAAATTCCTAAATTTGTTTAGATAAATTATCATTTATACTTTTGAATATTTTCTATATTATCAACGTTAAATATTTCAATTGAGATCACTCTTCAATTGATTTTCAATTGAGTTTAAAAACTGGATTATTAACAATAACCTTGTAAATTGAAAGGGTATCCCCTAATGCTTTAGTATTCCAAATTCTTCATTTTAATCAAACAACTTTTGTTTTTTTGAACAAACAATTTTCAAAGTAGTTTTCTTTTATTTTTCCTTGTAATCTAAGTTTTTTCAATTCCACGTAGTACGACCTTGGACTTTCAAGAATACGTTACTTTGCGACAATCGAAGCTTGGATTCATCAATATTTAAGTTGTAACAGGTGCACATACTAGAATTATTATCTGAAGCTAATACTCTAGTTGCAAGTCCGATTGATACACATATGGATCCTATAGTTAAGTTAGATCATGAGAGTGGTAAAATTTTTGATGATATAGAGTTATCAAAGGTTGGATGACAAGCTGATTTCTCCCATAGTTGCATACCTTGATATTACATATGTTGTTGATGTGGTTAGTCAGTTCATACATATTCCTCGTAAGTCTTATTGGGAGGTTGTCTATCATATACTTCGATATCTAAAAAAGACTCTGGGAAAAAGATTATTATATCAACCATTATCATCCATGACTGTTGTTAGTTTTTCTGATGCTGACTAGACAGACACTTCTGGCTATTTACTTTTGTTGGTGGTAATCTTATTACTTGCTATAGTAAGAAATAGAATATGGTTGCACGTTCTAGTGTGGAGGTCGAATATCGTACTATGACTCATATTGCTTGTGAAATGTTATGAGTTTGTTCTCTACTTCGTAATATGGGACTTGATGTTTCTTTTCCTACGAAGATGCATTGTGACAATCAAGTAGCTACTTTCAGTGGAAGTAATTTGACATTTTATGAGTGTACCAAACACATTAAGGTGGATTGCCATTTCATTTGAAATCTCTTGATGCAAAAGGAGATAGTCACTCCATATATCAAGTTTGGTAATTAATTGGGTGATATTCTTACTAAGTCATTGGCACGGTCTGCTTTCAGAAGTTTATATTCCAAACTGGACATTTTTTATCTTTATACTCTAGCTTGAGGGGAAGTTTTAGAGTTCCTATTTTCTATGTTAGACATAAGTTAATTAGTGTAAGGCAATATTGTAATTCCCCTAAATATTACAGTTATAAATAACAAAGTATAAGGTAACCAAGGATCAAAATATCGTTTCGGTGTATTGTTTTGGTCACCTAAGAAACGGAAACATTTCGATGTATTTCGAAAACATTTCGATCCATTTCGAAAATAGAATAAAAAAAATAAAAAATTTAAGAATTATTTCAATACATTGGTCGAAATATACTAAAATATCTTAAAATACCTTGAAATATTCTGAAATAATTGTGTAAATATATTAAAATATAACAAAACATTTCAAAACATTATGGAACACCTCGAAATATTAGAATTTCAATTCTATTACCGATTCATTTCGGTTTCCTTAGAAACGAAAACGTTTTGATCGTTTCGAAACAATATTTTGATCCTTAAAGTCAACATTGCCAAACACGATTGATTATTCCCTCTAAGCCTTTTATCCTCTCTTTCTTTTCTCTCTATAGCTTTCTCTAAACCTAATATTGCTTTACTATGTTAATTGTGGACCTCGTATTCTCTTCAAATTATGTTTATGTGCAAGATTTGTAGTGAACTAAAACGTTATTACGATTTTTTTTCATAGGTTTATGCATTTTTAAATGCATTTTATAAATTGCACATATCTTACGATACAAGATAGATTATGATACGCAATACATTGTTTTTGAAAAAAATTTCGCCTACCAATACACATTTTGACAATCTTAGTTTTAAATACTTTTAGCAAAACTCTTAGGATATTATCTTCCTAATGAATAATTTTTTTTAGCTAATAATTTTCCTTACTCTTGGGATAATTTGAATTGTTAATGCTCTTGGCACCACCATCCTCCTGAGGACCCGTTTATATAGGTATCATTTTTTGTAGTCTTAAGGTATTTTGTGCCACTTGTAGTCTTTAGGTATTGTTAATGCACTTGTAACAAACAAAGCTCTAGAATCAAAAATTAATACCAAATATTACACTATAAGATGGTATTTGAATACCCAAAGGGAGTACCTGAGCTTTTTGGGATGGTGTAACACGACAGCAGATAGCTGTCCTTGACAATATTGCTAATTCTGTGAATGCTTTCCGGTAATGTTTAAGTGCAATTTCAAGAGCCCAGCCATCCACAACGAAAGCCACATCCTGTCATAAAAGGATTGTAGTGACCAGGGGAAAAGAAAACTATGTGATATATATTAGCAATGGAAATATAGGAAAAAAGAAATTATTTGACACCCTATTCCTGACGATAGAATATAAAATTTACATATGTAAGAGTAACTACAAAATTCCTGCTACAAAGTATGTAGCAACCATGAAGATCATTCACAAACATTAGAATCACTCCTAACAGTGAACATAAAACAACGCCACAGCCACCAACGGAGAGGGGTATTTATTATTCACCAAATTAATAATGCAACTGACAACTGTGCTAAAGCCGTACCTTGGGTTCTGAATTTGTAGTTCTCATAGTAAGTAAAACTCTCTCTAGACTTGTACATACTTCATCTTCAGTTTTACCATTTATTAACAGAAGCTGGCCTTTAGGTTCTGTCAGTTAAGGAAAGAAAAACGCAAAATTAGCTGCACATAAAATTTGATGACATATGAAGAAAGAATCAACTCACAAGGGTACTCTTAACTCTTTTTTGTTTTTCTTGAGCGGAGTATTCTAACATTACTAGATTTCATTTCATAAATGATAAATGTCAAAGGCCAAACTCATTATGTGACATATCAACTGCTGTATCTAAATCCAAAGCTACAGGTAAAAAACACAGTAAAGACAAGATATTTGATGTAGGACAGCAGAGGACCTAAATTCAGCACTGTTCAAGTCCTGTGAACAGTGTCGTGAACAGTAATTTGGGGTTAAATGTGCAACATTATGGGTTATGGTTTGATGGGTTGTTTGGAATAGGGGTAGAGTTGTAGACTACTTTTAATGATAGAAAGAACAAAATTCCAGAGATGATTATGAGGTTATAATTGCAAAAAAATAGAAGAAAAGAAAAGAAGAAGAAAACTAGGAATCACTCCTAGGGTTGCTCAGACATCACACAATCTCATAGCATATAATTACTGAAAATTTCTGGTAGATATTTCTCTCCCCTTTATTAAAAATACCACTAATTATATATAGAGTTCTAAGTACTCCTCATCCTAAAATATTAGGATTCCAAAATCTATAGGACTTCAAAAACTCCAAAATTCGCATAAACTAGAACTAAGACTTTAAATTCTAAAACATCCAACACTAGAATTTGATCCCAAAGATGACCCATGGGTCGAACTATGACCCATTCCAAAAAATCTAAAAATTACAAAAAATACCCCTTGACCCTAAAAATATAAAAAAACACATAAATTACTAAAAACTAGCAAACTGACTTAAGATAATTTAAAATAAGACAAATAAAACTATGCAAGGTTCTATATAAGTCTTTATTTTGATGGCAAGTCAAATTTCATAGTTCTTCATGTCTTTGAATTTGTCTCTTCTTGAGCATTTTATGGATTGCATCATTCCCTTCCGGTTAGAGAAAATTCGACCTCGAGTTTTAAAGTATTGCAATATGAGAGTCCACAAGTTTTGAACTTATATCCTCCTTCTCTTCATGAATTGAGGAAATAAATAAAAAATTTGTAGATGGATCTTCTCAATTCTATCTTTGAACTTCTCTGGAATCACAAAATCAATTGATGAAGCAAAGTGAATACAAAGAACATCCTTGAAATGACATTGAACACTACAACTTGTAGTGTGCCTTTCAATTGAAGTCTTCCCTTGTTCATGGTGATATGATATCTTCTTTTGCTATAACCATGAACTTCTCTCGATCATTGTTAGAATATGATAGTATTGGTGGATTTTTATGCTTGCTTAAATTCTTGAAAGATACAAACAAATTAAGCTCTTGAGACATTGTTGTTGTCGATGGAAAGCCATCAATGTAAGGAATTTCATTTGGCAACTCTTTTGGCACTATTTCAGAGCACTTAGTGAGCAACTGAGTCATGTCTAGAGGCAACTTTGATTCAATGCCAACTGCTATTTTTTCAATATTCTTAGGCTCCACTACACAATTATTTTCAAAATACTCGCATTTCTCCCCGGTTTTTGGACAAATAATTAGTGAACTAGCATGGGCCTGTCCAAACAGTTAAAGTTGAAAACATCTATAATTTCTTGAGCCAGGCATGATTGCAGGGAAGCACTTACATTTGAAGCGTTATCAGTGACTACAGTTAGTTACTACTTATACGAGGAATTGGAAAAAAATAGGCAATCTACCTGGTGAAACAAAATTGCATGAAAGAGCAATTTGTATTGCAGTATTCTGCTTATCTCCAGTTAGCATCCAAAAGTTAATTCCTGCCTTTCTAAGAGTCTCAATTGTTTCTGGTACACCATCCTGGATAATCATACAAAAGATACTGCTGATGTCAATTTTGTTCGACCAAACAAACAGAAAGGGTAAAAAAAGGCTTAAGAATATAGATGCTACAAGGAACAAACAGCGGAAATCAGGCCATATTTTCTTTTTAAACCAGCACCTGTAGATTAACAGATTAAACTATGCAGCTTTTTTGCTGGAAAATTAACCTACTGTCCCCAACAATGATAAAGGATTACCTGTAGACGATCCTCTATTGCAGCAACCCCAAGTAATTCCAAGTTATGCTCTAGTCTTTGGCAGACCTCTGCGACTCTCCACTGCAAAATACATCAAGTTTAGGAAATCACATCCACTAGTTACCAACTTCTGCAGTCATATGCAGAGTCAAACAAAAGAGGAAATTAAAGAAGAATAAGGAAAGCAAAAAGGAAATCAATAACATCAAGATGTAAGCTTTACCTCTCTATCGACCAATGTGCTGTTAGCCTCTTTAAACATCAAAGACCATTCTCGATATTCATCTTCCTCTAGCTCACGCCAAGCCAAGCATAGAGTCCGGAGGCCTAATTGCGCATATTGCTCCACAGCTTCAGCAAAAGTCCTTGTTTGTTGTCCTAACACATAATTTCACATTATGAGAGCCAAGCAATTGAAATGCAAGAGCTGACAAAGCAGACAAAGCACAATAGTAGGCATTCAAAACCAACATTTGAACTCTTCACATTCTTGATTGAAAAAAAAAACTACTTCACATTTAATATAGGTATAGATCACGAATAAACTCTGAAAAATAAGGGCCAAAATATTTGGTAATTTGCAATAAACTATCTTAAGAGGTTAACAGAAGAGAAAAAGGACTATATAAATAGGTACTGCACAGCCATAAACACACACCCACATCCACCCACCAACACACATATATATGTATGCTTACATGACTGCATAAAGAGAAATAGACCAACAAGAAGATCAACAACTGACTTCGAAACTATAGGGGATTCATTGACAAAAGCAAGGACCCAATTTACCAACATATTTGGCCAAAATAAGATCCAAAACTGGGTCTAAGAGAAGAGAGAAATGGATGTCCATGAATAATGTACTGTGAGTTGATTCCTTCCTGAGAAATTTCACGCTGTTGTGGACAACCCTAGAGACAATAATAAGAGCAGCTAAAGGAGATCCATGTATAAATTCATGACTTTTTTACTCCTACTCAAAGCATTGCATAAAATAAATCCCTAAAACCTAATATTCAACTTCAAGCTTCATCCAATTCCTTCTCAATTTCCATCACGTCTATTGAGAAAATTGAAAAAGTATAAAGATTACCAGGTAATGCATGAGGAAGAATTGCTTCATCTGCTCCTTGGACAGAAGGAATGTTTTTCCACCTCGGCAATCTTTAATCACTATTGACATTCTTTTCCGATCAGAAGTGAACTCTAGAGTATCCAATACTTCATATGAATATTGAAGCATTGAAATTAATTTCTGCAATACATCAAAATGAGACAAGTATAAAATCATTGGTGCAACCAGAG